AATCTGGGCCTTGTGGCCTGAGGTCAGTTTGAGTCATGGGGATATGCCATAGGCTAGCTAAGACCAGGGGACTAGGTTCTGCACAAGGCTGTGTACATTGTATATTATGACAGCAGAGCTATAGTGTGAAAGAGGCCCTTCAAATTCTTTTTTTTTTCTTTTTTTTCCTCATTCCACTCTGCAAATTCTTTCTTTTTTCTGTCTTCTTTCTGCAACTCAGTCTCTTGCTCCAACATATTGTCACTCATCTCCCTTTCTGTTCCTGCTCCTGTGCTAACTCAGATTTCTTCTTTTATCATTATTTCTTTTTTGTTTATGTTCTTTTCTTCTGTCGTTTTACCCCACTCATGGGTCAATAGTTTCAAGGGAAAGAGAACCCCTATTACTGTTAAGGGGATATATTTTTGTCCTTATTCTTGCACTCTGTCTATCCGTTTTGAATTTAATAGTTTCCTAAAGATTGTATGGTCATTCTATGTCCTCTGGCTTCACCTGAAACCCTCTCCAATTCTTTCACTTACCTACTCCTCTCGTCCTAACTCTGTCTAAGCCCCCATCCTACAAGATGCTATATTAGAAAGTGTATTCACTGCAAACATATTTTGGGCTGCTTTTTTATTTTAATTTAATTCACATGGTTTAAAGGTGATAGATTAATGACTACCACAAGTGGTCAATTTGCAAGTTGTGATTGATCCTACTGTGTTGCTGATTGTATCAATTGGGCTAAAGGATTGTGATTGATTTAATATTTTGTCCTTTCTAATATTATGAAAATGAGAATGTCTATAAGTCATTAGAGACTCAAAAGCTAAAGCACAACTATATGAGGAAGATCTAAGTAATAACCCAGAAATTAAACCAAGGACAACCCAACAACAAAAATAAAAATGAAAAAACACTTAAGCAAGTCACAAATACAGACTTCCAGTTCACCAATGGAAAACTCTAGGGCAAATGAGGATGAAAAGTCCAATAGTGAACCAGTAGGTCACCCTGAACCCATAGCACAGGAAGTAACAAAACAGATTAGTCAGGCTCTAGAAAAATTCAAAACAGAAATAATTTCCTAGATAACCATAGAGATGTTTAAAAAAAATGAAAGTCATGATTCGAGCTTCTAGAACAGAAACTGACAAAAAAATAGATGAGCTCAGGACCATGATAGAAGCCATGAAGGCCCAGCATAAGAAAGAAATGGGAAAAATGAATGCCCAACAGAGGAAAGAAGTGGAATCCATAAAACAGATTCAAACAGATATCCAGATTAAAAACTCTATTGAAAGTGTATGCAACACAATGAAAGAATGTGAAGATAGAATTTCAGATATAGAAGATAGGATTGCAGTCAAAGACCTTGAAAAGAGGTCTCTTAAAAACAGTAAGGGATCATAAGAAATCAATCCAACAATTCCTAGATGATGCAAAGAAGAGTAACATAAGACTGATAGGAATCCATGAAGTAGCAGGAGAAAGTACAAATGACTTAAAAAAGCTGTTCACAGAATTAATGACAGAAAACTTCCTAAACAGAGGGGAAGAATTAGACATAAAGATAAGTGAGGCATATAGGACTGCAACTAGCCATGATCAAAAAAGATCTACACCTAGACATATAATAATCAAGATCCCAGAAACCCAACAGAAGAACAAACTGCTACTAGCAGTAAGAGAAAAGAAACAAATCACATGCAAAGGAAAGCCCATCAGAATCACAGCAGACTTTTCTTTTTCTTTAAATTGAGTTTATTGGTACATTTTAGGTATACAGTACAATCACATTCATTATTGGGATCTTGTACCTTTACATGACAGGTCTTGGTTCCCTTTTTCCCCTTGTCCCTGCTCTGCCTTTGCCCCCTCCTGCCCTCTCCATTACAAACACTTTATTTCCATTTTTTTCATTTTCTCATATTTTTTTCTTTTCCCTTATTACCTTTCCCCTATTCCTCCCACTTTCCCTACACCTATAGCCCCTTTCCTCCTATTTCACATTGTCAATTATCTCATTAGGATCTTACGTACTATTATAGTTTTTCACATCAGAGAAACTATTCAGTATTTACCCATATGTGACTTATTTGTTTCACTTAGGAGTATATCCTCAATATGTATCCATTTTCCTATGAATGAATCTAATTTCTCATTCTTTATGGCTGAGTAGAATTACATTTTATAGAAAAACCACATCTTCTTTATCCACTTTCCAACTGATGGGCAAATGGCTGTTTCCAAGTTTTAGCTGTTACAAACTGTGCTGCTATAAACATGGGTGCGCATATATCACTGTGGTACTATTCTTTCACTTCTTTTGGAAAGATACACAGCAGAGGGATGGCTGAGTCAAATGGAACCTCTAGTCCCACCTCTTTGAGGCATCTCCATATTGATTTCCATAGTGGTTGCACCAGTCTGCACTCCCACCAACAGTGGAGAAGGGTTCCTTCTCCTCACAACCCCGCCAACATTTGTTATTGGCTAATTTCTTGATAGCAACCATTCTTTGTGGGGTGAGGTGGAATCTCCGTGTTGATTTTGTCTGCATCTATTGAATGCAGTGATGTGGAACATTTTTTCATATATTTTACTTGATGCTTTTACTTCTGTCTGAGAAATATCTGTTCATTTCAGATGCCCATTTTTGAATCAGGTCTTTATATTTGGGGGGGCTGATTTTTTTGAGTTCTTTAGATATTCTAGATAATAGTCCTTTGTCTGAGGAGCAGCTGGTAAAAATTTTTTCCCACATTGTAGGTTGTCTCTTAGTTCTGTTGATGGTTTCTTTTGCAGTGAAGAAGCTTTATAATAAGATGAGATCCCAGTTGTTGATTCTTTCTGCTAGTTTCCATGTTACTGAAGATTTGTTCATAAAGTCTTTTCCTATGCCAATGTCTTCAAGAGTTCTGCCTAACTTATTTTCCAGCAAGTTTAGTGTTTCTGTTTTAATATTTAGCTCTTTAATTCACTTGGATTTTAATTTAGTGAAAGATAAGGGTCTAGTTTTAATCTTTGGCAGGTTGAGATCCAGTTTTTCCAACACCATTTATTAAAGCAACTATCTTGCGTCCAGTGAGGATGGTTGGCTCCTTTTTCAAAAATGAGGTAGCTGAGTACATCTGGAGTTGTCCCCTGTCTGTGCTATCCAGTGATTTTAAATTTGCCTTTTGTTTGTGTGTGGGGATGGGGGAGACAGCGTCTTTCTATGTAGACTGGCCTTTCAGTGATTTTTCTATCTCAGCCTCCTTAGTGCTGGGATTACAGGTGCCTGGCTTTCAAATTTGCCTTTCAATTTTATAAATTTCATAAATCTTTATTTATCTAATATATATCATATTCTATTATGTACATATGTGGTCATTCTGTATCTGAAATTCTACTTTTTTCATTGATTTCTGTTACAACACTGTGAAATGCTGTATAATTTTAAAATATTCATATGTACATAAAATCAAAGAGATTGTTGAAATTATTTTCACTTGCATCTCCCTTCTCTGTTCCACTAAAGTAAGACAGTTTAATTACAATGTTTGTTAAATTTCAAGTCAAACTGTAATTGAAGGGAAACCTGAATTTTTCCTGTATGCAAGTTTGAGGGCTGCCTTCATTGTCACCTTTGACACTTTTCATGTCACTCTACTGTCTCCTTAAAGGTCAGTTTAATGTGATTACTCACTTTCACCACTCAACTACTGATGACCTAATGAGAGACTGAAAATTTGTATCCTGTCCTGTCAGATCACATTGAGTTACCTCTGAATGCCTGGCAATAGCACATGATTGGTTTATATCCTGTTATTATAAAAATCTTCATATCTAGTCTCAGGAATTATACTTATTTTGTAAACACTCCAGCATGTTTAAATGAATGTTTGTATAATTTTTAAAGCAGGGAGTTGTTACACTGACTGGCTTGTAACAACATCTACAGCAACACTATCCATATGATATATATCTAGGAACAATATTCTCAGAATCACATCACAGGCACTCTATTGCAAAAAAAATCATTTTGAAAGAAATCCTGAATCTGACATATATATATATTTTTTTTGTTGCTCCTAACTTTCTGCCATCATAAGAATAATAATTAAAGAGTTAAATTTGATTTTTCCAAATGAAAATAATAAATTTCATAATGAAATCACAATAATGTTAAAAATGATACCAAAATGGTTGTAATTATTGTCAGGTTTTCCAAAACAAAACAAAACAAGAAAAACAGATTTGAAGATCTGAATTAGTGTTCTGTTCTGCCTACAATTACTTGGGTTTATTATGCACTAATAATGTAATATTTATGAGTGTATAAACTAAGAAAGGGGATAGATTATGAATCTTATTATCCTCTATGGTTATGTGCTGATAGCATTAAATAATGATTTAGAGTAAACACAATAATTTAAGACCATAATAATCTGCAATCTGTAGACATTATTTTTAACACTACAGAGAATGTATGGTAAAAATTGTCTCACACAAAGTCACTTTTATAATCTTGTCACCTAAAGACATTACAAATAAGCAATTTAATAATTTATTAAAGTCATTAAAGTGCATATCCAGATTTAGTTTTCTCTCTTTTTCTTTTCTTTTAATAATATTGGAGAGGTATAATAATGGAAATAAAATAAAATTTATACAGTGTATGAAACTATGCACACTAATAAATATCTACATTTATATCATGAGTAAAACTATAAATGCAATAACCTCTAAAACTTTTTGTTTATATTTGCAATATAATCTGCAAGTTTCTTCTTAGCATCCAGAGCTATTCTTGGAAAGTTAGAAAGGCACCATATTCTTTAGAGTGTGAAAGCAGGTGAGAGTTCTAGATCTTTATGTAAGATTAGAAATACTCTCCATATTTCTTCAGTTATAATGTTAAATTATCCACTATATATTTGTCTCATATATAGAGGTAAATATATTCAAAGGGAAAAGCTTAACTCCACATATGTCAAAGATTCGATACAAATTCAAAGCTCATTTGCTCTTCATCAGAGAAATTTTCCATCACTAAATAAACAAACATTTACTATCTTCCAAAATGTGGATGCTGAGCACTTAGTCATTTGTTTTTTAGTACTGATTAGCACCAAAGGACTGATTGTGGCATAGCCATTCCCAATCAGCATCAGCACACAGTGATGAATTTGGTTATGTTTCCAGAACACTCCAGATGTGGAGGTGATAACACAGTCCATTGCATAAATGACAATAAAGACACTCATGAGCAACAGAATAGTCTGAGTGGCCCTTTGTTCTGGGGATGCTTTTGGAGACAAGTTGGTGCTGTGAAGATACTGTAACTGTCTTTTGTACCTGTACAAAAGAATCACCATGTACACACTTGAGAGCCCCATTAGTGATATAACAGAAATTTCCTGGAAAGTCATCAAGGAGAAAGTGATATACTTAAGTAAGTAATTAATTGGCCAAAGGGAGCAGGACTTAGTGACAAACATAAGCTTATGGGAAGTCCCATTAGGGGTGGCAATAGTGGAGATTAAGAAACGACCACTGATGAGCATATTGATGACCCATAAAAATAGAAGGCAATATAGGTTCTGATGCAGGGATTTCTGTTTGAACTTTGCCAAATGGGAACTTCTGGGGCTGAGGGTAATGGCCTGGAGGACACTCAACAGGCAGGTGGTACAGATGGAGAGGCCCCTCATCAACCTGTGCAAATAGATAACACATTTACACGTGATGTCATTCCCCAAGTCTTGATACCCAAAAATGTCTAAAGCTATCAAACACACTGTTACCAGCATTATTATGTGGATAAAGAGCAAATGGGTAATGGTCAAATCGATCGGCTTGGGCCTGTGCTGTAGAAGAAATATGAGCATATATAAAAGAAGCAGGATAATGTTGGCTATGATTCCAGTGCTGACTTCAAAGAAAAACAAGCATTGTGCATCAAGAAACCTGAAAAATTTGCTATTTTTATTCATTTCCATGGAGAAAAAAGTATATAGTAGATGCCTGAGGAGAAAAGCACAGAAAATTATCACAAAAATCACCTCTTTCATCCAACTCAACCAACACATGATTTATCAAATTATGATGGGTCCCTTTCCCACTTCTGTAGTGAATTTCACTGATACTCTTCTGGACTCCTCACAGCCCTGTCCACTGTGCCTCTTCTTACCAATCATGATTGGATTATGCATCTCACTGTTGGGCTGTCATTGTTTCTATGTAATAAAATTGTCATATTATGGATGGCATTTTCATATCTTTGTCTCACTTTTAGTTTTCAATGGTGGATACCTCACCTTAATTGCCCCTGTTTTTGCATTCAAATATTCAGCAAATTTGGGTGCCATATAATGTGCCCATGAAAAATAGCAAACATTTTAATGTGATCGTCTAGCCATCTGTGAGTTTTATGGATCTTATCATGTCATAGAGTCACAAAGGATCTTGTAATTCATATATTGATACATGACATACAGTTATTTCCTAATCTATTTATATGTTACAACATATATACAAATCATGTTTCAAAGAATAATGTTAATAGACACATAACAATGTTTATATGTATTAAATGTGATATTATGAAATTCAGACTACAGTTAATGTTACTTCAAGAAGTTGTATTTTTTTTTTTTTGGTACTGGGAATCGAACTCGGGTCCTTGCACTTGCAAAGCAGGCCACCAAACCTCTGAGCTAAATCCCCAGCCCAAGAAGTTGAATCTTAAACAGTACAGAATATTTGAAAAGTTGTCAAAGAAAATATTCAAATTTTCTAAGAGCTCATGCAGTGGGAGTATACTATTTTATGACTCTGTATGAAAGTGTGGTCCTACAAAGATAGTGACCAATGTATGGCAGGTGTGTGTAGATGCCACAGGTTAACATAACAATGTACCCTGGGGCATTGGGTCATTGCCTGAAACTGGTAAATCTTTAGTGATCTTCTTTCAGAGCACTAATCAAGGAAATTGACAAAACTTGATACAGTTATGATAACCCAAGTATGGTAGCCCTATGGAGTGATGACAAGAATATGGTGAATCATCCAGCTGTCTCTGTAAAGCTCTTTTTTCTTTAAACTTTATCAACCACATAAATCTGTATTAGGTAAATACACATTCCAAATATCTTGCAGTGTATTGTATATAAGGAATTAATGAAAGATATATAGATAAATATTTGGGGGCATGTTAATTTATAAAGAAATATATTCAGCAAAATATGAAGATCTCATGAGACAAAGGTAAAAGTAATCCTCTACCATGTCTTCTCCCAGCCATGACTCATCCAGCCCATATTTTCCTAACACAGCACAGTTAAGAACATCAGGGGATCTGGCAGGAACTATAGGCATCTGCAGGGTGATTGAAGAGCCCTTTCTATAACACGACTCTTAGTACTGACAATGCTGTGAAGGCATCTGGATAGCCTAACATATAAAGCACATAAATCTCATTTTAACAGTGGAGGAAACAAGCTTCCCTCAGAGAGATGGAAGGTTAATAAATCAATGACTATATTTAAAAAGAACATAGGACTAGATATGTGGGGATATTGGTTAACATACTTCAGTAATGAACCAAATTACTGCAATTACTACAAAGCAAATAGGGAAGAAACAATTGGAACATAAGGGGAAGACAAAGTCATCACCAACTATGTAGTAATGTACTACTTCTAGGAAATGGAAAAATATTACAGGACTATTTGAGTACTAATGGCAACAATCTCCGCACAAATAAATAGTGAAAATTATCTACTTATGCAAATTTGAAAGACTATAAGATATAGTTGTAAGCCCAGGCATGGTGGAGCATGCAGGAGGATTGCTGTGAGTTCGAGACCACCAGCCTGGGCTACATAGTGAGTTCCAGGTCAGTCTCAACTACATAGTGAGACTCTGTCTCAAAATAAAGGTATAGTTGTGAGGAGGAATCTAACAACCACATATAGACATCAGGGTGGCTGAACACATTTTCTTCTAAAATTTCCCCTCAAGAAATGGGTTCTCACATACTCATATCAATAAAAGCTGAAAATTTATTTTGAAAATGAAGTTGTATTGAGATATATGAAGGGAAAGTAACAGTCTATTTACCAAATTCTGGAAGATTATATTCTTAGAAGGTTTTTAGAAAGATGGGAAATTTCTATTGTCATTCCTTTGATTTCTTTTTTTTTCTTTTGGTTTTTTGAGACAGGGTCTCACTATGTAGTTGAGTCTGACCTGGAACTCACTATGTAGCCCAGGCTGGTCTTGAACTCACAGTGATCCTCCTGCCTCAGCCTCCCGAGTGCTGGGATTACAGGCATGTGCCACCATGGCTGGCTGATTTCTTTATTTTTAATACCACTGCCATACATATTACGCTGTACATGGTAATGAGATTTCCTATCTGTTAGAGCACATGGTGAGATAGTTAGACATTAAGTTGAAATTTATGAAATTAATGGTGGGAGAAGAAAAGATCTTATGATGAAATGTTAATGCCTATTTCATAGGAATGAGGTTAAATTGTCTGAATGTTCAAGTTTTTTGAACAAAGACCATTAAATATTAAATAATTTTTAAAAATCAAACTACAGAGTTAATTATTGTATAGCAGTTTAATTACCTTATAAAATAGTAGGAAAAGCTGGAGATTTAGCTCAGTGGTGCTGCCACCTGCCTCACAAGTGTGGGGCCCTGAGTTTGATCTCTGGTATCAAAAAAAAAAAGTAGTAGGAGAACAAGTGAGAATATTTAATGAAGAATCATAGTGAAAGCATCTCTTCATAAGGGTATAAAACAATATAAAAGATTTAATCTAAAGTGACAAAGTAATATCTTCCTTAAAATGGGCTTAGGTAGTAAATCAAAATCCCTTAATTCAGAGGAAATAATGCGGAGTTGAAATTAACTTAGTATTTCATCTGAAAGAGTCTACTAATTTTATGTTATTAAATAAAAGCACTAGATACACTAATAGGAGAATTTCCTATTGTACTGCAGAGTGATCCATCCTCTGAGCTGTATGGTGCCTGAGGCTGGACTGTGCATGTAAGTCCACCAAACTCTCACTCACAGACCTCACTGGCTGTCTAGAACCCTGCTCCCCCTCTAATCCTCCATCCCTCAAATACAGATCCACTTACCTACTGGGATGTGTGGAGCAATTTGGTGCACCTGAACTTAGCCAACATAATTTTAAGGATAAATGGTCATTAGCTCATCTCTCAGTAGGCTTCTAACTTCAGTGTTTGAAGATCCCACGGGGAGGACAGAACCTTGCTGTGCACAGTGGAACATTTCACCTCTCTCTTAACTTTATTCTCCATTGGACCATAGCCATCTGGGGAGAGTTATGCCCAGAACTTTTTTGCAAATCTCCCTGACACATAAATGTGAGCAATTATGAGTTGTAGTCATGTAAAAAATGGGGTAAATACTTGGGGAATAGAGTAGCCTAGTTTTCAAACCTGAGAAAATATTTTAACCCTAATTTCAAATGAACTCTGCATGATACACAGTGAAAGCAAATGATGCCCAGCTCATCTCAGTGAAATTGCTGAAGGACTAAAAGAAAAAACAACATAATAAATGTTGCAAAATAATCCATAACAGGAAATGAAATTGACCCTGTAGAATTTAATCAAAATTAATTCAAACAAGAAATATTTGCAAAATTTAAAATTTCCTTTCATAGATTTCCCCCGAGCCCGAGACGCTGCTGCAGTCACATCGTGGGCACTATGGCATCTGGAGTTACAGTGAATGATGAAGTCATCAAAGTTTTTAATGATATGAAAGTAAGGAAATCTACACAAGAGGAGATCAAAAAGCAAAAGAAAGCAGTTCTCTTCTGTTTAAGCGATGGCAAGACAAATAATTGCAGAGGAAGCAAAACAGATCTTGGTGGGTGACATTGGTGATACTGTAGAGGACCCCTACACATCTTTTGTGAAGTTGCTACCTCTGAATGATTGCCGATATGCTTTGTACGATGTCACATACAAAACAAAAGAGTCTAAGAAAGAAGACCTAGTATTTATATTCTGGGCTCCTGAACGTGCACCATTAAAAAGCAAGATGATTTATGCTAGCTCTAAAGATGCCATTAAAAAGAAATTTACAGGTATTAAACACGAGTGGCAAGTAAATGTCTTGGATGATATTAAGGACCGTTCAACACTTGGAGAGAAACTGGGAGGCAATGTAGTAGTTTCACTTGAAGGAAAACCATTATAAAATGACAGTCAAGTGCCATCTGGATCATAAGGAGCTTTCATTTTTCCAGTTCAGTACATTGGAATAGTATTAGGTTTTGTTTTTTGTTTTTTCCCTTTCCACTGGACCCTTCCAACACAATGAATGAAGGAGATACCATTCATTTAAGCAGCTTGTTAGTGATTGCCATTAGACGGTTTAACACTGTTACTTTTGTGGCTATTTTTATGTAGGAATGCCTTCGATCTTACATCAGCCAAAATAACTGATTATATGTCTTGCTTGCTGCATGCACTACAGTGAATGTGACTGTCAATGTGACTAGCTTAGAATACTGCAAAGGATAAACTAATTGAATGCCTTGAAAATATTAGTCACTGGTCAGATGGTAAACTTTTTCAGTATTATTTATAGTTGCACTTGATTGCAGTTCTGTGAGGCACACAGCATTGGTACACCTCACCTGCCTTGGCAAGCCTATTTTTGTGACGTGCAGCACACATATAACACTATGCATTAAAAGCACGTTTTTGTAATGAATTTAATTCTCTGAAAACAATGCCAGTTTAGTTTCATTAACTGTGTCATCAGTTTATCCTCGTACCTCTGTTCATTCCTGTTAGCTGCGTATCTTTAAATAGCTGTTACAGTATTAATAATGCCTTTGTGTTTTCTGTCGAGTGTACACTACTGAATAAGTGTACAAGTTTTATGTTTACCATGTGAGTCTTGCAACATTAAAGGTAGTTTGAATATTAAAAAATAAAAT